AGTAGATTTTTTGTGAATAAGTTACTTTTATGGATCATTGGTACTATCTGCTTTCATTTCCTGGACCTGGGTACAAATATGTTGAATGAAACTCCGTGTAGATGACGGTAAGTAGAACGTGTCCTTTGGCTAGATTTATCCATTTTCTGTTTTGGCATTTTTTTTAGATATAAGCTGGAATTTTCATTACTAGAAATAGAATGATAAGTACCGAGAGGGAGAACGAACACTTTTCAAGCCAAACGAGCTTATAAACAATTATTCTAATTGGCGGTTATCAGAAGGAACTATGATTACACAAAAATTTTGGAGAGAGCGAACAAACTAGATGTTATAATCCATGTCCCGAACTTATTCCTAATTATTGAAAACACCAATTTTTAAAGCATATGAAGGTAGAAATCAGCCATACTAAAAAAAGCCAAACCAGTTAGAGGTGCTACGAAAATGGAAAAAAAAAATCAACTGCAAAAATGAGCCCTAATTGTTGGTAATCCATAGAAGATGAAAAGCTCTTAACAACTTATTACAAGAAACCCAATGATTAGGAATAAGTTTGGGACGTGGATTTATAACTTCTACATTCTAACTTTTAAGGTTACCGGTGCAAAGACCTCGCTGTTCGAAGGTAGGGACAGGATGCTCCACTTAATGATATGACTAGCGCCCCTCCTCAAAACTAGTATCTCATAATAACTAGTATCAAATGAGCAATCTTCATGGACAGTGGCTATGGAAGCTTACCCTAATTTAGATATTCCTCCTCCTTACCCTTTTGAAGTTGTACACCGTTGTTGTTAGCATAGTAGAAAAGGTTATGGGGATTTTTTTTGGGATTTTTGGGAAGGAGTGGAAGAGATGAGGGTTCTCATTTGATTTAGTGGGTAATGATTTTGACCTTGTGTAAGGAGGAGCTCGTGGATTGGGAATCTTGCTAGCATAAATTTTGCTCTTGTTAAATGGATAGGTCCCTCCCTTTATTTTGTGGCACTTGATCATTATGAGTGAATATGGGAGTCAATTCAATGTGTGGAACTTTGAAATTGTTGATGATAATGCTAGCACTTTTGTGAATCCTTGACAAGCCATTTCATGTTTTTTGCACTCTTTTAATTTCCATTTGCCCCTTTGTGGACGAAGGTAGTTAATTTTAGTTCTGGAAGGATCATTCGCTACACAATGGTCTCATTTACTCTTCTTTCCCTCTATCCTTCGGCTAACTTGGTCTTTTGCTAGAGATGCCGTGGTTCTTGTTTGGTTTCTTTTGAGGCTCTCTTCATATAATCTTCACTTTAGAAGAGCCTTGAATGATAGGGAGGCTGTCTATTTGGCTTCATTTTTATCTTACATTTGTGTGTTTTGTCTTCATTTGGGTGTTAGGGATCAACGCCCATCTTTCATGCTGTTGCGGAGGTGCTTTCACTTTTGTCCTATATATGTGTGTTCTAAATTCATTTAGGTGTTCTTTTCTTTACTATAGCTACACTTCCCTCCTGTCCAATTGGAAGTGCCTTTTGTAACCCATCTATGGGCTTTTGTACTCCCTTATATGGGCTCCATGTAATTTCATATATCAATGAAATTGTTTCTTTCACAAAAAAAAAAAAAAAAATTCATTTAGGTGTTATGGATCAACGTCAAAATTCTAAGAACAACCATCTATCAGGTCTATCAGTGTTGGAAATGGGTTCTCTCTCCATTTCCCTCTCCACCGCTCCACCCACCCACTCTGCCCCCCAACCCCCCTCCCCATGTCTCCACTAGCTACCCCACCATTGAACCATGTCTCTCAAGAACACCTTTTCTGCTCGTACCACTACCATAGAACGAAAGCGATTTTCTGTTGTTGTGCACAACAGATACAGAGGCAGCCGTGTCAAACTCACTGAAATCACAAAAGACAAGTCCTTCTCCCTTTCTATCCATTGGTCCTCAGTCACATGGGTTCAACATGTTTTGCTTCACTCATACACTTGCCCATCAATCAAAAGTTCTTCAAGGAAACAAGGATCGATGAACAGACTCTGTGGGTTGAAAAGACATCCAACAGAAAAGGCACCCTAGCTGAGATTGCTAAGCTGGATAATAATGGAAGCATCAACAAAATCTTTGTCCCAGTTGGAGAAAACAGAAAAGGCTGGATTTCTTTCCACAACATCATTAAAGACTTCTCTGATAAGACTCTTCCACCATCCATCCCTGCATCCACAACCAACCCTGTGCATATTCTACCCCCTACCAACCAGACACAAACCAATACCCCGTTATCCTTCTGTGAGGTATTAAAGAAGGACAAATTTCCAGCCACAGAGGAACTTTTCTCGAAAGGAGACCACATCGCAGAGCTACCCACACGCAAATACCAATCTGGACACCTCCATCATTGTCTTCCGGAAGAATTTTCATGATGAATGGTTTAAAATCATGAGAGCTCTACAAGCCCACATTTGCCACTTTTGTACTGTTAACCCATTTGCAGCAGATAGGGCACTTCTCAAATGTTAAGACAAAGAACAAGCTCGATCCTATCATCCATTACTGGTTGGTACAAAGTGGGTTTATTCCACTTAAAATTTGCCCCATGGAATAGCCAGGCCTCCTTAGCCTCCCTCGTGGTCCCCTCTTATGGAGGGTGGATCAAAATCTGAAACCTACCTCTGGACTTGTGGAATGAAGAAACTTTTTACTTCATCGGCAATAAATGTGGTGGATACATTGAGGCGTCTAAGAAAAGACTCTCAAGACTGGATCTTATGGAAGCCACTATCCGAGTCAAAAAGAACGCCACGGGTTTTATACCGGAGACCATTCTTTTAGACGGGGACGAGCAGGTACAACCGACCATACAGATTGACCCTTTTTTTGTCACAGAACACTATGTTAGTTTTATAGCCGGAATCCATGGGGTTTTGCCACCGGAAAAACCTGATCATCGACCGGACATCGGTGGCGACGGCCTCCTAGGTCCGTACCCTCGAGCTTCACAACCAGACAGCCTCTCTTGCTGTGTAACAGACAAATCACAGCAGCCAGCAGTTCCCAGTATGAGCTATGTTAGGGGCAGCCTATCAAACCCCTTTCTGGCAAAATCCACAGACCTACGAACAAAACCCTCCTTGGAGCTGGGAACAAAAAGCTTAAAAGGGAAAGAAATTTTGGAAGATTGTGATGGGCCTTTAATTGAAACTTTACAGTTGGGCCACACATTACACAACGGATACCCCACCCAGTTCTGACCTTACACCTATCCTCCCACTCAATTCTGACACTCCACCTATCACCCCACCTAATCCTAATCCTAAATTGTCCCCACCCCCAAACCCTATTACCCTAAACAACCT